TTAATTTCCTCCTTTTTCAATTATAGCTCTTTTGTTTAATGCCCTCTTTTCTCAATTATAGTTCCTGGTAAATAGGATCATGAGGTATAAATTTTTCATATATGACAAATATTAAAAGCATACAGTATCTTAAAGTTGTAAAATGCTACTAAAGACCAATCATCTTAACAGACAATGCATGTCAACCTGAGGGTTAAGTGGTAAATGCCGCATCAAAGTGTAGGGTAAAAGTTATAAAGTCATTCTTGTGACTTCTGGGTGCCCTGGTGTGCATTTCTTAAAAGCAGAGAATTGTATGAAAGTTGTAGTTGTTTGCACATTTATTCAATATTTTTATATATTAAATTCATGTATAAAATAAATGTGGAGACAACAATACTTCTAGCTATGTGCCTGTGTGTGTGTGTGTGTGTGTGTGTGTTTGTGTGTGTGTTTGTTTGGGTGTTTGTGTGTGTGTTTGTGTGGGTGTATGCATGTGGCCTTGAAGAACAAAGTCTGGGAATCATTGCTTGTAATTGCAGATGGCAATATGACACTGTCGATTATCCAGTCAAAGAAAGGTTCAAGGGTGCCATTTAACACAAAAATCAGATAGATTCTTTTGGATAAGGCACTAGGAGTTGCTACTATCTCCTGAAGGCCCACCTGCTGTTGTTGCCTTTATCAAGGATTGCTGCTGGAAACCATCCTAGAGACAGAAGCAGCAGCCCTGAAAGGGGAGATTTTGCACTAAGCACAACCTTTGGGAACAGAAGGTAGGCTTGTAGAGGGTTTCTGCTCCTCTTTCTCAAACCACAGAGCCACACTAGGAGAGGTCCATGAAACACTGGGGTTGTGTGGTACTAGCAGGAAAGGGAGTAGTAAAGATGATGATAATAGTGAAGATGATGATAACGATAATTTTACTGCTCCTTACTGAGGTGAAAGAACAAAAATTTCACAATAGGAAATCCAGTGTGGGTTAAATTCTAGCTTAAACTGTGTGAGAATTTAACATCTTTACAGCAACAATAACTCTGCCCTTAGATATCTGCTACAGTAGTAGGAACTGGATGAAAGAAGTTAATATTTATGTAAGCCAATAATAAATGTAGAAGCAGGATACAGGTTGATTCAATGGCTATTCCAAGATTAGAATATATAAATGGAAGCAGTAATTTGAGTTCAAACTGAGAACAATCCTTGGTGGAGAAGTGGAATTAGCTTTTCTGTTTGAGTCATTCTGTACCTGGATCTTTAATACTGGGAAGTCCACTGAGGCCACAGAGTCCTGCTTATTCTTATGAACAGTACTGATATAAACCACAGTCTAGGTACATGCACTTTTCCCACCTGATATCTGCTATCATTGTTTAAAAAATGTTTTTAACTCCTTTTCTAGTTTTTGTTTTGTTTTGTTTTGTTTTTACCTTTCCTTTCCATGGCTTCTGGCTCTCCCTGCTCTACTGATGTAGTTTAGAGCTTTCTGTACTTGCCACAATCTCTCACAGGGAAGCTCTCCCTGATTTCTGGCTACCTAGTGAGCATCCAGATGGTGGACTTCAGCCCTAGTAGGCAAGGAGTTGGAGAATCATGCAATATTTTGTCATTGTCTAAGATATCTCAATGTTGGAAAGTAAACACATGAAAACTCAAGCATTTGTGAAAATCTCTGTAAAAGGGCAAAAAGATAAATGTGATCAGTTTGAAAATCTGAGAGATTAGCATAGGGACTCTGTATCATATCATTGCTATACATTGAAGCAAGCCATACACAGACTGTGTTTAATTGTAGACCAATGATATTACACTGTATTATTTTAATCTTAGAAGGCTGATATGTTTTGTAGATTCCATGGTTAAGAAAAAAAATATTAGAAGGGAATGAAACTAATAGCTTCAGCTAAATGTTTTGGGAAGACAATGTCCTTTAGAGACAGGAGAAAGTCTACAAACAGCCATTTAAACTCAAAGAGTTAGATGACTGATTGCAGGGCATTGTCTGGAGGCTTTTGCAGTTCAGGTTCATGCTATCAAACTCTCTAAATTACACCAATATACAGCTGATAAGAAACCGTAATGGACCTTTCATTTCCTATCTGTATGGTAACTAGTACAAACACCATGTATGGTTATAAGATTGTTACCTATAAGACTTCATTCTGATAACTTCCTGTCAAGTGATGTGTTGCAGAAACTGTTTCCAGCTTCTCATCTCTTTTCCTACAAGATTTTCCATGCATAGTATCACTTCAAAAGAAGTTTACAATTCTTAACCCACTGGATTATTTTAAAGGAGATTATATATCACAATATTGGTTATTTATTTTATATGTATATAAAATAATAAATATGAGATATAAATCAGATATATTTATCTATCTGCCAATAAACCAGAACTTATGAAGAAAGAAATAGTCTAGGGAAATTGCTTTTAAAAGCATTTTATTATGTATTAACAGTTTATACAAAATTTAAAATTTAAATATTAAATACTGTCTTCCTTCTGAAACCTACATTTATCTTTGGAGAACATTCCCAGGTATAACCACATTCAAAGTATATATTTTTTGCCCTTAGACATCTGACTTCCTTCTAAAAGCTCCCAAACCTATATTCCAGTCTGATCTTTTTCTCAGTTTCTTGACCTGAATCTCCACCTCCCTGTTGGGCATTTTCATCTAGATGACAGACCTGGAGACTTGCATCTCAAGCTAAATATTTTTCAAAACTATTCTTATGTTTTCTCCTTTCTCCAAACACCCATGTGCTGACTTTTCTGAGCTTCTTTCTGGTAGCCCTATTCTCTGGGTTACTCATCCTTCAAGTCGCTTTGCCTCTTTCTTTTCCCCTGCTCTGCTTGTTCACATCCATTCAATCAGTTTCATCATGTGCTTCTGTGACCTGTTAGTTCTTTCCTAGTGTCTTCAGCATCTGTCCCTTTCTTTCCATGCCTGCTCTCACAATCTTACTGGGTTGTGTCATATGGGTTTTTGGTTTCCCAATTGGGATTCACCTGTTCAATCTCTCTTTCCTTATTCATCCTGTATAATGTCCGTGTTAATATATTTCTGACATTGTTAAGAAAAACATTTAATTGTCCTTCTTACCTCCTGAATAAAGTCAAATGACAACAGCCCGATATTCATGATCCTTCAAAGTCTGATCTATGTGTATGTCTTTAGACTCGGTCACCATGATTACCTTTCCTATAACCTGCAGCCCAGCCAAAGTGGACTACCTGCACTGCCTAAGTAAGCTCTGTTCCTTTCTCATCACACTCTGTATGAGGAATTTGTTTCTTCCCTAAATATGCCTCTCAGACTCTATCTGTCCTCCATAGTCTAGCATAGCTGTATTCTTTTCAATAGGTGTCTAAGTGGCAGCATCCATATGTTCCACGATGGGCAGACCTACGCAAACATACTCCCAAAGTCTGAGGAAGCTGAGAGGCTGAAGAAAGAGGCTGATAAATCCAGTTGCTTAGAAAGAAACATTTAATAAAGACTTATGAATAGAAGCCATGTCTGTGTCTTGGGCAGTGGCAAGACAAGATGGTGGATCCCTGTGCTATTACCCGCTCCAGACCCAGGGCTTAGGTACTATGGGAAGTAATGTGTAGGACAATGAAGCTGACCTCCCAGGGAAAGGAAAGAATGCTATATGAACCTGCAACAGGCAGGATTGATGGTCAAGGTTGTTTTGACCTAAGGGCAAGATTTATGGTAAGTACATTTTCTTACACAAAGAACAATAGATATACTGGAAATAAGGATTCCAGTTTCTTCTTGGAACTGAGGTTAATCAGAAGTTAGCATAGTGGGTTGGCAACCAAGATGGAGTTGGTCTCCACACCATATCTTACCATTTCTACTAGATTGTAGGATTGCAATAAGCCTGTATGTCATAATGAATTTTGCTTCTCTCAGTAGATGCTAAATGTTTGCAAAATAAAATTAAAAATTAAATGTCATCACATTTGCATATAGTAGCACACATTTAAGGTTATAATCAAAAGTTGCCTAGTCCTTTTCAAGAACTCAAGTAGATGATTCATGTTTATACATGTATCTCTAACACTGGATTCGAATTTTCCATCTCCTGTTCTTAAGTCTTTAGAATATCTTATAGAAGATAGTCATTGGATAGAAATTGGTGGATATTGTTTTATCTTATAGTAATTTTTTCTTTGTTATTATGAACTAAGTAAAAACATCAGTTTTGTGTAAAATCATGCCTTGGCTTTAATTACATCTAAATTTAATGGTTATAGTTTTCCCCTTCTGAGGGTGACTTTAAGGGTCATTACTGCGCTTTGATTATTACTGGCTTTGAATGGAAGAGGCTGAAAAAAATTTTTGAGCCCCATTAAAACCTTTTTATTAGGATGGATACATTAATTTTAGAATATTTGAAAATTCCCTACAACAGTATGTGACTCTATATGCAGGAAAAGTTTTTAAAAAAACAGGTGTGTTAGATTTTGTTGCATTGTGGTCCTATCCTGAAATAATCTGAAATATTTTATAAGTTACTGTAAGTCAATCATTAAAAATAAACTGACCAGTTTTCAGTTTAATAATTATTTTCTCAGTCATCTTGGGCAAGTCATATCACTTGCTTGAGCCAGACTCTTCATTGTTAATATGACAGTAGCAATAACTATCTCCCAGGTTTGTTGTGAAAATTAAATGAAGTCGTGAGTATAACACAATTTTTAAACTGTAAAGTGATATAAACATTATTATGTACATATATGTTTATACAAACAATTTATTACTAATACACATGCTTATAGGCATTCTGTGAACTCTTTTGCCTTATACTCCAATGGCCTCAGTCCACTGGCCTTAGACCCTTAGAAGAACTGCAATGGTTCATACGGCCACATGTGTAACGAGCATTTACCTTTAGAACGAACAATTAGTATATTGTAAATGCAGTTGAAGTGCTGATATTCAAATGTCTGCATAAGCACTTGTGGTTACAAACCATACATTCTGCTATTTTTTTTTTTACAGGATTTGTGTTTTCCTATCATCATGCTCCTTTCCAGCCAATGAATTATGTACTATGAAGGTGTGTCTATTATCTTGTAAGCAGAGAGCCTTCAATAGTTTTGCCATTAAAATGAGGTTCTGGTAGTTGAAGCACTTGGGAAAAACAGTTACACTGTTTGGAAATCTAAAAGAAACTACTCTGTAGTCTTGGGAAAATTTATGAACTATTTACATACAGTAGATTGAGAAATACGCTATTTTTGTTCTTATGGAACATCTATAAAGCAAGCATTTAATTTCAGAATGGTCTATATGTGACTTCAAAAGTCAGACTGAAATAATTCATTTTTCTAAAAAATCTTACAGAGTACATATACAAATCAGGGGGAAAATGCAATTAAAATCTCAGCCTCTATCGAGTTACTTCAGAAATAAATGTTGACTGAGGAATCGGAGTGGTATAAGAAGCTGCTGGTCTGCACATGCAAGGCAAATAATTATTATATTAAAAATTACAGTTTTTAAAGCATTTGTTTCTCATCTGGCATCAAATAAAGTTTAATTGCAAGTTGTTTTATGTCATGTTCTCTTGGGGATATGTTTTCAAAAAGATACACAGGAGGTTCATATGTACACACATCTCATTATTTCTCAGTAGGATTCATGTTTGTACCACCTACTCATGATTGGAAATGCATACTCTAATATCGATTTAGGCTTGTGCTGAGCTTTCATAACAATATAATTCTTCTTTTGCTACATGGTTCTGTAAGCTGTTTCACAATGAGATTCCAAATTGCCAAAAAAGCAAACCAGCCAACCAAAAGCCCTTAATGACTCTCAACAATTTCTTTGACATATTTAAGCAAAATATTCTGTTCCCTTTAACGAAAAGGCGCAAAAGTTTGGGTTTGGGTTCGAAATACAATTGGCCGGCAGCTACTTATAAAATTGAGCAGCAGATACTGCAAGGAAAACAGATTATATGTGGATTCTATTTCTTTCCTGGATAGCCTGTATTGTAAATATTTGCTTTTATCATCAGCATAAGAAACGAAAGCACCCTTTTCTTTCCATAATTTAGAAATGGCTTTAGAGAAATAGTATAATAATTATACAGGAAGTACCACAAAATAACCCTTTTGATTTTCTTGGCTATTGTTATGAAAAATCTTGAAAAATGTATATTTGGTGTTAAAAGAATCTTGTTTAGACATTTTCTTAATGTGCTGAGCAAAAGGAGAAATTAGCTGCAGGTCTCTGAATGTACTGAATGGCGACCTTAACTTAAATAAGAGAAAAGAGTATTTGAAAACATGTGTAATGCCATGATTCCAAAAGAAGAAAATGGGGGTTTCTGAATTTCAGACAGGGGCAGCAACACTGAATCATATTTCCTGGGATTTTCTGATGACAGTTAAAACATGTTAGTGGCTTCCTGTTGCTCTTGGGGTTTGTCCTGAACAGAGCTTACATAGCCCAGGAAGATCCGGCCTCTTCTCAGCTCCCCCAGCTCATCTCTGAGGGCACTCTGCCTACTCCTTACTCCCACCCACACAGGCTTCCTTTCAGCTCCTCCTATCTGCCAGAGCTGCCTTTCAATGTAGGACCGTTGCACAGGTTGTTTCCTCTACTAGGAAGGCTTTCTGTGCCTTCTTTTCTCCTACTCAGCTTCCTCCTTCCTCTATTAAACCCTCACCACCTTCCACCTTAGTCCTTCATAATACCCTCTGCATATCACTAGGCATCTCTTTTGCAGCACGTGCCACAGTTGTCATACTTAGTTGTTATAGGTCTTTTTTAAGGTACTGTGAGTTCATGAGGCTGAGAACTCATGTGTTTAGTTCACCGTGGTAATAAACCAACAGTGTGCCTGGCACGGAATAAGCACCCAAATATTTACTAAATGACTAAAAAAAGGACTCCTACTCTATCACTCTCTATTCCAGACCCCAGTCAATGTAACAGAACAAACCTCATTTTCTGGCCAACATCTCCTTTCCTTGCAACACAGACTACATCATCTTATTGCTGAATGTGTACTAGCCATTGTATTTGTCTACCCAGGCCACACAGGAACAATATATTGCTGATTTTTAATGTCCTATGACATGCCTTGTCTATGAAAAGTGGCATACAAAAATCAAATCTTTCTATTCTACTTCAACATTCCATTTTGTGTAATCATAAACCACCCCCTCTGAAGGCCACTTTCCCTCAAGGTAATCTGGCAAACAATGAATCTATAGCAACAACAGGAAAGCACTGCATCATTTTATGAGCCTTGCCTTTATTTCTCCGGGCAGTGATATTTTGCTAAATCCTTGCTGCCTCAAGGGGCTATCTGCTAGCTAGAAACCAGTGATTATAACCTGATGCTGTACAAATCTATCAGAAAAGTCCTGTCAAGCTACTTCTTCTAAGTACTTACCTTGGTTAGTTAACAAAGGCCATCAATTTAAAATAAATAAATAAAGTGAGCCAAAGTCCTAATGCAATGATCTAATCAAGCAGAAAGCGATTACCTAAGTAATCATTTAGGAAAAGGCTTGTTCGGTTCTGGCTTAGAATGAACTCACATTTCCACATGTCACTCTGTCAGCCTTCCTTATTATTGTCACTGCTGTTATCAGCATGGTCCTTGCATTTCTATCTTATCTCCTACCTCCTTCTCCCTGTCCTTATCCCTTTGGAACCACTACCTAGGAGCTCTGGCCCTAGAGTGGACTGAGTGGATGGTTTTCTGAAACCAGCTGGATACAATCAAGAGGACGGAACAGGAGCCCTTTGCTTTTCTCGCTGTAGAGAAGCCTCTTGGAAACGTCTCAGCTCCCAATGCCCAGGTTATTGTAAATTCCCGTGTTGTCAAAGGAGCCAATCATAGACACAGAGACAAAATTGTCTGTCAAAATATTTGCAAAAACAAGTGGGGGTTGATAGATTTTATTACTAACTAAACCTTAATATCTTTAATTAGATATTCCAAACAACGGAGCCCTTCCCATGCCATAAAGTGAAGTAAAATGGACCATCATTACATCACATTGAAGTTTAGAGGTGAGCAATTCTTTTCCTGTCTGATCTAGTTTTCAGATTTCCTTGCTTCTGTGTTTACAGAAAATGGAAAGAAAGCTGTTTGTATGTTTGGAAGATTTCAAGATGGCCACTGTCATCTAAATTAGAGCTTTTGGCTCATTTCCAGTTTGCTTAGAGCCCTGGCCCTTTCTTTAATAACAGTAATAATGAGTGCAAACCTAAAACAGTTTTGGTCTTGAGTTTGCATTCCATCCATCTTCTTTGAAATGTTAAAACATCTGGTTTTAAGAAAAAAAATTAACTTCAAAATGTTTGGAGAGAAAAAGGCAGCCCACAAAATAAATCAGGGTCAAGTGTTGTTATTTCACGGGTAATTATAAAGCAGTCCAATTTATTAGTAAATCTTGCATCATGCTTACTTATAGCCACAGCCATTGCAATTGTTTTCAGGCTCTCATTGGAAAGTAGCTAAATAGCAGGGTTTAGGAAGATAAGGGACCAACTATCATGGAAAAAGTACCTTGTGGGCTTGTCATACCTTGCTTTCCTAAGTTTTCCATCTTGCAAGTAAATTTTTGTCTTTCTTTAGTTTATTTTCTTAGTTAATTCATGAATTTTTACCAGCAGTTACTTGGAAACAAAAAGACGCCCACATTAAATTATTGAAAAGAAAATGCTTGCTAGTTTAATTGAAGAGCAGATGGTTGGCTCAAAGGGTCTTCTTACTGTGTTTCAATAGCACAGCAAGGAAGAGGGGGACAGGTTGCAGTGGCCTTATTAAACTAACACAAACAACTTGGAGGAGGGTAAGGCTCAGCATTTTGAGAAAGCCAACTTCTTTGAGACTTTAATTATAGTTCAAGAAGACTCCTCAGCCTCTCTTTTCAAGCAAATGGGCTGAAAGGGATCTTTAAACTAGTCTGCAAGAGAACATAAACACTTCATGAAAACGGGGTACAAATCATTCAGACCAGGCAACACCAAGATTTAAAGCAGTGAGCATCACTTTTCTTTAAGGTCGTTATCAATTTGTAGTAATCTTACATTGTCAGGGAAATGTTGACTCATGTACCAACTGCTGAATGTATGGTTGCATCTCCAAGGAACCTGTAATCTCGTTTTTACAGCCAACGAAACAGGTCCATCTTCTAGCCCTGTAAGTTACTTTTTTCTTCTCCGGTTTTCACCAGTTTACCCAGATTAACTATTGAAGACTGATACTTAAATAGAAAAGCATTGGCCTAATTGTGAAATCCAGCAATCAGATTAGGAAACTATATTTAATGGTTTTTCTCTTTGGGGAACTTTTGCATATAAAAACCTGTTTAATCTTTTCCTTTCTGTCAAATAAATTACATACAGCATCAAATGCAGTTTATTTCTGCTATAACTTAAAGAGTGGAATTTAGGCAGTATCTATGCAATACTATATATCTGGGTGGGAATGAGTGCATTTGGTAAAATACTGAAATCAAATCAAACCACACTTGGGTGCATTGTCCAACTGTAAATGTCTGTTTATATTAGAATAAATTATCTGACAATTATCTGGACAATTACCACAAACATTTAGGAGTGAATAAAATCTGGAAAGATACCACAACATCTTTAAAGATGATTATAGTTTTACTTATGAGTGTGGTTCCTGATCATTAACCAGAGCCAACACATTCTTATTTCACTTACAGTTCAACAAATTTTGCTATCTCAGTTTCTACATTGCAATAATTTATATATTGTGATTAGAAGAGAGAAATGTTTCTGAGACAGGAACATTGATAAGAAAATGATGAAAAGAAATGGTAGTTGGCAACAAGAAAAATGGCAGAAAAGTTCTGAAAAAACTCAACAAGGTTATAACTTGGATCTGTTAAATGTGGGATCAAAGCCTGAACATCCCAAAGCTGTTGTTTCTCAAGATTCACTGGTAATAAGAATCATGTGGGGGCTTGCTAAACACTTCTAGTTCTTCTCTTAGAGGTTTTGATTCAGTGTGTCTGCTTAGGACCCAGAAATGTGTACTTAACAAGTAATACAGGCTGTCCTTAGCACTATTTGTGAAACACCACTCCACTAGTAGAAGGGCTTATAAAGAAGTCAATAATTGATGTATAGATGATATTTAAAGACATTCAGAAGAGGCTAGGTCATGTAGGTTATTTTCTGTAGAAGATGAAAAGAGTAGTTTAACTGCATTATTTAAATATTTCTACCAACAATGGTGTCTTTGAGGGGACAAATTTCAGTAGGTGTAAGATCCACTTCTCTGTTACTGATTATTCCTTGACAAATTGTCTATTGAGAGTCAGTAGTGCATAGAGAGCCATATTTAATGAAGAAAAAAGTTTGGGATTGTGAATAACATAATTTGTCATTAAACTTTTATAGTTTGTGTTAAACTTGAACTTCTCAAAGATACCATTTTTCATCATTTACATAACATCATCAAGCCTGGAGCAAGTGCCTCTAAATTACATATTGTTTTATTATTTTAGGTTTTACTATTATATTAGATCCCCATAGGTATTCAGACTACTTATATATGACTCAGTGAATTCATAATCTAGAAGAATTTATAATTGCATTTTAATCCAGAGTTTAAAAAGCTACTAATAACATCAACGCATATGAAATAGCAAATGTTACTGAGTTAAATTATTTTCTCAATAACATTGAAAAAGTGATTGAGCCATGTCTATCATAACATTCTGGAAGAGGTGGAAATTCAGGTTGAAATATATTTTTTGTACGGTGATAGAATTACTAAAAACAACTTTCAGAATTTTTCCCTACCTTCAGTGAAGACGTCTATCATCTGAGCTCTCAATCTCAATCCTGCCATCCTTCTTGGGTGCTTCAACATCTACTTGGATGACCTGCCGAGGCAATGACTTGGCTTTCAATTTCTTATTTTTGATGTCAATGATGTGACCTTTATCTTTAAGCTACTTCAGCTATCCCATTCCATTGTTGCATGTTGGATCTTCTTATAAGCCCAAACTTCTTCTGAAGTATTGACTTCAATAAATTCACTCCATGTGTAAGTTTTATGCCTCCATTCTCCAATATACTTTTTTCTGCCGCACAGTTTCAGGAATATGTGGGGACTTCTGATCCTTTGTCTCTTCTGCTTACCCCTGTGAACTAGTCTGCTTTCATCTTCCTAACCCAAATTAGATGCTCTGTCAATATCCTTAAACTGCGTTGCCTTCTTGCTTTTCTATTGTATCTTTTCTGAAAAGCCTCAATGCTGTGTAAATTGAACTGGATTAATCCTAGTTCAGTACAGTTCTACAGCTTTTGAAATCAAACAAACTGAAAGACAGGGGTACTATTATAGATTCAGGGTTTCCAAAATCAACTTGTTTCTCAACAGGACCAACCCACACTTATAGGAATCATTAGTTGGCTCCCTTTATTGCTCTCCATGGTGACACTTTCAACACATCTATATGTTCCTCAGAACTCTGATCTTCCCTTCTCCCCTGTCCTCAACAGATAATCTTGTCTCTGACTTCAAAGTGAAAATGTAGGCCATCATAAAGAAACTCTGTCAACTTTGTACTATCTTTCAACTGTGATAGTACTTCCTTCTGTCTATGATTAATCCCTCTACCTGTGTCTGGAGCATTCTTATTTTCTTGTTAAGGATTTCATGTCCATCGTTTTATTCAATCTCTCCATATTGATTAGTATTCATAGTTCAAATGTTTCTCATGTTAAAAAAGAACTATATATAAACCTTCTCTCCCTATCAGAGCCCCTCCACCTTTCTGATTCATGGTTAATGTTATTTAATGAGTTGTACATACAATTGCCTTTATATTTCACTTCTACTTGTACCTGAACTTCAATAGCCTGACTCTGTTTCTAGGACTCTGCTGAATTTGTTTTGACCACATTTACGGGTCTACGCCTTTATTATTAAATATAATGAACAATTCTTAGTCTGCATTTTACTTGGTTTTTCTTCAACATTGGACATTATGGACCATAAATTCCTTTGAAACAGTCTCTTTTCTGGCTTTTGAAACTTCACATTTTTCTTGCTTTTCTATGACTTCTCTTTGTCTCTTTTGAAGACTTTTATCTACCAGCTAAATTTAAGTTTCCTCCAGTTTTGGTCATTCGTCCTTTACTTTTCTCACTTAATACACTCATTTAATGCTGCAGTTTCTATGGGATCTATATTAAGGTGGCTCTCAACTCACATCTTCGATATCAATCCCTCTGTTGAGCTTCAGTCCTATAGAGCCAGTTTCTTCTGTGCATGACATACTTGGGAATAGCTACTTACTGTCACAGTTCTCAATCAATCTACACTCATCCCTCACCATGATCAATGAAAGTCTTAATGGCATCTCAGCCTCTAGACTCATCCACAATTGAGTCAGGGTAATATAGTTAAGTGCAAAGTTGATCTCCAATTTCTACTGGAAAACTTTCAGAGGCTTCTTACTGCTCTCAAGTTAGTGGACTATGCCTTACAGAGTCCTTCACTATCTCAATCCAATCCAGCCTTGTTGCTTAGCAGTTTTTTCATGAATTCCATGCTTTAGGTATATTCGACGTATTTACTTTCCTTGATTGAGCTAGGCTGTTTAGCATTTCCAGGTCATTATACACTATTTTCTTGGCCTGGATATTTTCCTGCCTTCACTTTTTATGTTAGTTTGTTATTGTATTGATATAAAGGAATACCTGAGGCTTGGAAATTGATTAAAGAAAGAGGTTTAATTGGTTGGTGGTTCTGCAGCCTGTACAAGCATGGCTCTAGCATCTGCCTCTGGTGAGAGCCTCAGAAGTTTACACTCATGACAGAAGGCAAAGAAGGAGCCACTGTATTACATGGTGAGACAGGGAATGAGGGAGAGGGAGCAAGAGAAAGAGCAGGGAGGTGCCACACACTCTTAAACAATCAGATCTCATGAGAACTCAGAGCCGGAATTCACTCATCACCGAGGGGATGACACTAACATCCCCTTGAGATCCACTCGCATGATTCAAACACCTCCAACCAG